AATATAGTTTTCTGGCTCTGAGTATTAATATGGTTTACCAGAAATAAAATCTCATTTAGCTTATTCTCGACACAAATATGATTATAATTTTGTTGTACTTTAAATAAATACCAATCTACACAGTAATTTCAAATATTATAGTACTCTTTCAACGTAAAACCGAAAATATAAAGACAAAATGACAATTATTTTACAGTATCAAGTAAATTTCAAATTACGAAAAATATTCCGTCAAAAAAATGATGGTACTGAGAAAATGACCAAAGATAAGTATCTTAAAGAGTACTTGCAGGTGAACAATAGTAATTGCTTGAAACTCGTTGATAATTTTTCTCATCTTCTTTTCTGGACATTGTAAAAATGGCACATTTCCAGTTTTTATCCGTTCCATGAATCGAGTTATATATTTTGAGAAAGGATGACCTTGTGGCATATAGTACAGTAGAGGATAAGAGATAATTTTTTCTTTCAACACGTAATATTCTGTCATGCCTGTTTTTATAAGTGCATAATCAGTCAGAGACACTACCATCCCAAGTTCTTTCAAAGCGTAAGATGCATTGTCAGGGCTTATTATTTCATACCTATAGCAATGTTCACATAATAAGTTATAAGCTGGTTCTTTCAGCCAACTGAAGTAAAAGAAAATATTTACCGATTATATAAGTCCATCATAGTTGGATCTCTCCTATCATATAACCATTCTTTTGCGATATCAGTACCACCTATTCTTCGTTTCGAATTCCGTAAATCACGAAAAATTTCCAGCATGTGAATAGGCTTAGCATTAATGATAATGCTAAAGAAATTGCAATTGTAAATGGCATTCATTAAAAAAGCATAAATTAACCACATGAAAACTACAATGCGTAGTCCCGATTTCTTTGGCAAACGTATGTTCTGACTGAAATACATAGCCACAAGATGCAAAATATCTATTTTTTCTCTCGTTTTTTGAGTTCTCAATTTTTTGAGTAGAAGTACAAAACATCCATAAAATAATGCTATAGTTATGAAACAGAACCAAACTTCTTCACTTAGAGGCATCGTAATTAGCGAAACAGATGGGATAATATTTGGTATCATATCGATGAATAAAAATTCTTCAAATCTGAAAAATGTATAATCCTTAGAAAAATATATTCTGTATTGACGTTAAGAGATTCTGCTCCATAAGATCTCGATAAAAATTCTAAAGTCTTTCAATAAATTGATTCATGACTCTTACATACTACGTGTTGTGCGCATGACAAGATGTTGAAGATGAAATAAAAGATAAAAGTATTGAACTTTAAAGTTAACAAAAATTGTTTAAGGACATCTATAGTCATTTAAAATCATTGAATTAATTTGCACATCCAATGAAGTCTTTCATTTACGTCAAAAACATCTTAAAAATTACAAAAAAATGTAGTCCTTACAATACTGAAAAATTCTTTAAAGCTTTTCTCTTTTGTTTGTGTATTAGACGTACTCAAGGCTTTAAAAACTATTGCGATTTTTTTTCAATGACTTGTGCAGCCTTTTAAACATCGATTAAAGAAGATCTTTAGAATAAGCTAAATTTCGTGACTTAAAAACTCACGTATACGAAGTGCTTTTTTCCAAATTCCAAACAATATGGGAATAAGGAAGCGTTGGGCCGAAACCAATGTCAACGTGACCATTAAGTATTTCTCGTACTGTGTTACTCCAATTGTAATTGCTCACGTAATCTTTCTTTGTTATTGACAAATTGTAGTATTCCGCAAAAGCTTCTAAAACACAGCCACCGTAGCTATCTGCTGCTATTTCAGTTCCATTATCACTAAAATCATATAATTCTTCTTTTGTGGCTCCATAATCCACTCTGATAAATCTTAATTCGCAAATTTTAGCGGGGCAAAGCATATTTTCGAAAGATGTGATTGAGCCAGAAAACTTTTTATTTAATGAGTTATTGTAATATCCAGTTACGTGCCATTTAGGTTCCCGATGATCGCAGTATGCACAACCGCTTATTTGTTGATGAATTTGGATTAAATGTTGATCAGTTATCAAAAGTGTTACAAAGGTAAAGCTATTATTCCACAAATAACTGATGAAATCTTTGAAAGCAATAATTTTCAATTCAGTAATAACTAAGTATCGGGAGAATTGATTGTAACATGATTTTCTGAATACAGTATACAGAAAAGAAATATCGTTACTTATAACAACACAACTCAGTATAATATTTGGATCGCAAGTGTTTGTAGAAAGTAAAAGTGTGAAATTCAAATTTAAATTTTTAAGGAAATCACTGTCACTAACAACATTACGATCATCAGATATTACTCTTAAATTTTGCTCAAGTTTAAATAGTTTCATGACAATGGCTGAAGAACAATAGCTAATCATCTTAGTTGTACCACCATTTTTAACTTCTAAGAAGTTTTCGTAAATAGAACTTGTTAAAGTTATATAGAGACAAAGAAGTACAGCAATAATGTGAAAGAATTTCATTTTTAACTATAATACACAAGAAAAAGAAATTTAAAAATAAATCATGTAATAAATAATATAACAAAACAATATTCAATCAATTTTACTTGTATAGCTCCTGTGACTGTGGCTACTTTTCTCTACTGAACCTTGAAACCATCAGGGCAATATGCCAATAACTTAGTGGTATTAATAATAATGGATAAAATGATTATTTACGGATAACTATCTATTTAGAGTGTGTCACTGTGATAGAAAGTGACATACTTGTAAGGATTTCAATTTCCTTCTGACAAATTGATAGCATCCATCAATAATATTACTTCTATTTTTCGCATCACACAAGTTATAAATATCCAATCTTCGATTAACCTCGAAAACATTTGTTTCACAGCTGAAAAAAATACCATTATTGTCGATTTGAAAATCTGAATTGATTTTTCAACTGAACAGGGCCTTATTAGAAACAAAATTTTTTTCCTAAAATAAGCAACATAGGGGTGTAAAACTGTTTTAAATATGCCACATAATAATTTTGTTACAAGGAGGTTTATTGGTTACTAAATCAGCAGTAAGAATTGGATACGCATTTATTATTCACACGAGAGGTTGACTAATCACTAAAAATTTATAATTTGTATTTAGTTGGGTTTAACATATAAGTGTATTATATTAATAATTACTCTTATTACATTTTTCTCGCTCATTTCATTACGAATCAATGAAAATCTTACTAAATAATAAAACAGTATTCAATAAGCTTAGATATTTTATAAATGACATAGAAAACTATAGAGAACGTTGCATATAGCGACATATAAAAGTCTTTTTGTGTCCATTGTTAAAATAAAAAACAAAAAAANACATATAAGTGTATTATATTAATAATTACTTTTATTACATTTTTCTCGCTCATTTCATTACGAATCAATGAAAATCTTGCTAAATAATAAAACAGTATTCAATAAGCTTAGATAATTTTATAAATGACATAGAAAACTATAGAGAACGTTGCATATAGCGACATATAAAAGTCTTTTTGTGTCCATTGTTAAAATAAAAAACAAAAAAAGATTAATTTTGGCTTCGATGGCTAATTTTTCAACTCGATTACTTCTTGATGTTAAGACTTTGTAAAAGCATTTACATACTTTTGACTGCCAAGGCTAACAAGCTAATCTGTATCCCTGCATGCATTCCAGTTTCTGTATTCTTTTTCTAAAATATTGTAAGGACAATCGTTTTTTGTTATGTTTGTTTCAATAATTTTTCTTGCGTTTACGAGGAATAAAAATAAATAACCGTATTCCCATCCTACATTGAGTTCTTCGCACTTTGAAACAACTCGTCATTTGCATTTAATTATTTAGATCGACTTTACTATGAAAACGAAAATACATTGAAAGAGACTAATAATTGATTGATAGGCTAGATGTACGGATAATGATAGTACAGGAAGCGTTCGTGTGTGTTGCAGTGTGAAACGAATCGATACTTCTTGTGCGTCAGCCTGTAATACTGAAACAAGAAAACAGGACGCTTTGTATTTCACTATTATTATGAAAAATTGACATGACGTGACATCTGTAATATATTTAAAGTATTAATTTGGTAAAAAAACTCATTGATTTGTCACATAATTACACTATGTTTTTACAAAATTATAAGTTTTTAATAATAAGACATTATGGTTTTAAGATTCACGGTAAATTATAAATAAGAACTTAAAAATTTTCGTCGATATACATTATAAAATCTTGGAGAAATTTGGGAAAAGTACTTGAGGTTCTGAACAATATATATAAAACCTTATTACTGAATCCAAAGACATTAAGCTTATTTTAAGTGAAACAAAAAATTAATATATATATTTCTTTGGTATTTTTAAAATATAATTTTGGCATTGAATGTCAGTGCATCATGATATACAATTTTTAAAAATATTACATAGTAAAAAATTTATTTAAAAGATTAATAAATTACTAGTTTTCGCAGTAATCTCTGGTTTATCTTAATAATTAAGTAGGCTCATACCTTTTACAAACTTACAATAAATCAGGTAAAATTTATAAGTATGATCAATTCGATTATCAGGAATCAGCATAAATTTTTTCATCGTTTTGTATGATGATTTAGCTCATTGAAAACTGCGTTTTTAAAAATTATTTTCGAAAAAAAGTTCATTCAACGGGATACGGCAGTAACTAAAAACTCATAAGAAAGCTCAGAACATTTAAAACTGACTAGTATCCTGAAAAATATTATTTATTGACAATTATACCATAAGGAAATCAAATAAACGTGAAAAGATAATTTATAGGCCTATGCTAAATTCATGTATAAAAAACAGCACTATCTGCTACTAAAGCATGCTAAGCCCGTATGGTACAATGAATTGAGTAAAAAGTAGCATTTTTATTCCAATGTTGAATTGACTAGAAAATATGGTATGAGCCTCATTTTTGTAGATGACAAAAACATAAGACGACTGTCCAGTAAAAGTTGAAAATTATAATTTTGTATTTCTACAGAGAATCCTATTCATTAGATCCCACGTCAATATCCTTATCATCTGTATTTTTCGTTTCGTCACCACTTCGTGAAGCATTGCATAGCTGATATGGCTTCAGATTATCGTTGTGTGTGGAATCTATTTGAACGTCACTGGACTTCTCAACTTCTTTTGCGTGTCGCCACTTCATTCGACGATTTTGAAACCATACCTTGACCTGTAAACAAAAAGTATGCGTGATTTTTTTTTTTTTTACGTATGTTTACTTGATCTGTTACATCAATAAATAATAAGATTTATCGATTGCTACTAAAACACGGGAAATACACTTGTTTCTCTTCCAGCAGTGTTCTTCCTCAGAGAGTCTTTATTTTATGTAGGAAAATTATTTTGTACCAACGTGTTTGGTTTTGAAAAAATAATTTCTTCAACTTAAAAGTTTATTTATAGAAAAATTATATACATTTTTAAAGACAGTTTTTACTTTAGTGCGAATTAACATCAAAGTTTATTTATTTTAGATTGTTTGAGCAAAAAATGTCTTAAGTGAAATTATTTATTTTTAACAGATATTTCTCAACAAAACAAATATTTGGAAAATTTAGTATTTTAGAATTAATAAGGTTTATTTCAATTGTATTTTTAAAAAGTAACAAAACTACAAAAAATGTTACAATATTGATAAAAACATGCTGGTTTTTTTAGTAACAGTGAACGTTCGTTCCTCTGTATCGTAACTAAAAAAAAGAGTGCTTCGGGATATTATGATAACTCTAATTGCAACACTATGAACATGTAAATTCTAATCAGTTATAACGATAATAACAATTCTTTTTTAGTGAGTATAAAAGGTAAATGATAGAAAAATATTGAAGCGTTTTTTTTACGTAATCAGAAACCAAGAAAGACTGCTCCTATTAATATTTGCTAGATGGTACGAGTGTTATCACTTCCCATATAGGGTTTACGTGCCTTATAACATCATGCGTAAGATTACACTTATCACAGTCAG